ATAAAATACTGTTCCCGATTGCTCATATAAAATATTACCAATGTTAACTGATACAGAACAATTGTGACCCTCTAGCCTGAATATTCAAAAATTAGTTTAACATTACTAATTGGAATTGAAACATAATTTAAATTTAGTGCAAAATACAATGTGAGTTATTTGCTTGCAAATTATTTAACCAGAATTTAAAAAAAAAATTCTAAATTTAACTTAGAACTAAATGAAAACGTTAATACTTTTAAGCAAATAGAAATAATGAAATTGCAAGTGGAATTTAATTTAAGTAAAACGTTTCAACAATATTCTTGCTTGAAAAGTAATGGATATCAAAACAAACAATCCAAATCAACAGGTGAGTAAATAGAGAGACCCTTGTCATTTCAAAATTTTGCACAGAACCGGTTTTTTTGAAGAATTCTAGGGTTTGAAATAGCGGATGAATATGATGAGAGCTAGTAGTGCGGAAACAAATTGATGAATAGCTATGAAATGCCCTTTCTCCTCAAATCATACATTTATCGTTCTGTTTCAGAAAAGTTATTTCTTTATTTTTGGGAAAATTAAATTGGAAACTTTGAAATATTTCGATATCTTCCACGGGAAATTATTAATTAAAGATCTAATAAAATCACAGAGAAGCACATACTTTTATATGATTGAAGTCAATCTTTACTTCCAATAATAATAACAGAAACACTAAATGCTTACATAACTGACACACTTTTTACCATTTATATGTAATTATCACAAATCTTTTGGTAATTATCAAAGTTATTTCTATTAGACATAAATTTTGTAAATAAAAAGTAAAAGTTAACAAGTACCGATCAAAGCCTGGCTAATGAAAAGTTCATCATTAAATTTTGCTAATGTATACTCTGTACTGTTTCAATGAAGTATCACCTATTCTTTTATAAGCATGTTTTAAAAACATTCAATATTTATTTGTAATAAATTACATAGCATAACATGAAGCTCGCTATTTAACACTTCGAATTTTATGTTATGTTTGATGAAAATTTAGCATACAGATTTAATTTAATCGTAAAAATTTAGAGTTTAATTCAATTTTGAGTTAAACTTAAATTTAGCAGTATTTACAGAGTTAGAAAGCAGCAGATTTCTTCAACCATCCGTTTAAATACAGTTAGACTAGAAAAATTTTAAATACAGTTAGATTAGAATTTGAAGTGTATAATCCATTGTCTTGACCTTTACGACGAATTTGATGAAAAGATCGAGTGCAGAATTTTCATTTGACGTAATGGTGGACAATTCACTGCTTGATAATATGGACCATGGATGATATCCAACAACTGCAAATCAAATGAAAAAAAATATTTGTAAGTTAACAATACCATAGGAAATATGTGATCAGAATTAATTTAACTCTGAATTAACTACAACAAACAAATAAAGTTTAAATTTTAGGATTCAGAAATGTGGAAAATGATTTTAGTAATTTTCGAATTTGATACTAGATAGTGAAGAATTGCTAGAATCATTTTTTTTTCAATTTTTTTGGATCTTAAATTAAAATTTTATTCATGAATCATGACTTAAATTATTAGATTCAACTTTAACTGTCTACTAGTTTGGCATAAATATCCTATCCGATGAGTGGGAAGAAAACTTTGGTACACTGAAAAAAGATATTCTTAACATTTCTTTAACTAGTAAAACGGGTGACATTGTAAAGTCCTTTCGAACATGCATACTGTGAAGCTGTCTCAAGAAAGCGGTAATATGATAGCAATAGTGATAAGTAAATGCAGCAAAAATTTTGATGCTAGGACCATTGATGTATCTGTGATAGATCATTGAGTTACTTATGCTTTTGAAAATTACTTTTCAAATTATGGATAATTCATCCCAGTGTAGCCTAAGGAATTTTCGCCAAGTCATGTATAAAAGTTTTATTAGTCTACGTAATAATTTACATACCTGCCGTCGTTTAATACTTGCAGAACGGCTTATTTTGTGCAAATGATCGATTTCACAAACAAGTTCGCTACGTTTTATACTATTAATTGATGAATCATACTTCCTGTAAAATTATTCCCAACTAAATTTCATGTATATTACCATAACGTATCAAACAAAAACTAAGTACTTGATAAAAGATTGCTGATTGATAGATAATGTGAACAAAATCGGATATGATCCAACATAATATTTATTAAATTCCGAAGAAGTGTGTGAATAACCATTAGATTACATATGAAAGTAAGTACGACTAACGTGGTCCAATCAAAAAATCAAGCCAAAAAAGTACCGTAATTTAAATTTTGAAAAATAACAAATCTTTTACTCAAGAAGTAGTTTTATTTGTGAGCGTACACGTTCATTGTAACGCCGAAGTGCAAAAGAAAATGCAGAAATGAAATCAACCGCATCACTGTTTAAGATAGGTGAAGCTATTGGATGAAATCCAGGAAGAGTACGCTTCAATGATCCGAGAACATTCTGCATAGCTGCATGTAGTGAATGTGAATCAGATCCAGCCTATCAAATTAAGGAAGTAAGATTTATTTCCTTATCGATTGCAGCAATAATTATATACTATCATTCTAGTACAATCAAGTAAAAATTATAAGAATTCAGTGATGTTTTTTTTTTTTTTAAAAAACAAGAATACCTGCGATAAAAATGGATGTGGTTTCTGATTCACAATAACTGTCGGCTGAATCAGCTGCAACAGCGAACCAGGTTCACTGGCAGAATGCACTCGTTGATTTTGAACACTTTGCCGAGCATCAACAAGTACTTCTTTCGGCCTGATATTTAAAGAATTATCATTACTGCACTTCGATTGAGCATCTGCTAATCCTGGCGAAACATGCACTGTAGTCGTTGGCGTAATAGCTAGACGACTCGTTCGCGAATCAGTTAAATTTTGACCTGTAATCTGTCTTTTCTTTTTTGAAAACTTGAAATTAAAATTAATTTAAAGAAATGAAGGTTTAAAGTTTGTTTGAATTAAATGAATTCTAGCGTTTAGGTGTGACTTTGATTTCCAATAAAAACTGATTTATATTTAATTCTTCATTATAAGAATATCTCGTAAGCATATCTAATTGTATTAAAGCATTGCAGTGTTAAAGTAAGCTATAAATAATATCACAAATCTGAGTAGGTGAATTAAAATCATTCAAAAATACAATTTATATATGCACTTAACAGATTCAACTAATACTACTTAACGTAAGTATACTGCGTCGAATATGCCATTATTCTACTGGATAACTAGTGATAATCGCAACTTTAAGTTACGAAGAAGAATTATCATACATTCACCAATATTGTTCCTGCATCTCCAAAAATCTTACTATATATGTATATTACAACTTGAAAAATTAAAAATTTTAGCCAAAAAATTAACCAACTTGGTATAGTAGAAGGAGTTGCATTGTGATAACCGAGACCAATGCGAATACTGCAATCATCACGACCTTTTTCAACAAAATTATCAGCGACATATTCGTGTTTCGAACATTTCGAACAACATTGTTTTGTCAAACTTATAACATGTTGTACTAGAGCCATGTATTGATTTAATTCTTCATGAACTGCTCGAAAATCTCGAAATTCATATGGTTTATCCAACGACAGATCCTAAATTTTGGACAATAATAGTTATCATCATCACACTATGAGGTGTGGTCCACAAAACTTCTTGAGAAAGTTTTTACAGCAGACTTACAAAACAAATCATTAATATCAAAAGCAGTAAATTTTCATTACCATTCAGACTAAAAATTTCAAATCAAACAATTCTCGCGATTTAGACAAAAATCTTAAAATTCATAATGTAATTAGCATTTCATATTACTTCTATCATTGCTATTATAAAAAAGTAATTTAGCTACCACCTTGTCACTATTGCTCCTTTTTTTAACCTTAACCTAGAAATTATTAAATGTCCTTCGAAAAAATAAATAAATGAAAAATAACTATTAAAATAAAAAATCATCATTAGTGCACGTTCCTCCTGCATACCTTTAAGTCAAATTCCAAACACACAGTGTAATAGAGAAAAACGTCGAACTACTTTTGTTTCCATAATTTCCATTCCTATCAGATTTATCGGATCAGGTTACTTTATTAAATACCCCTTGCAAAATAACTTGAGATAGGCTCATTACTGTCAATAAAAATGAGTTTTAACAAATTTTCATGGGTATACAAATTTACAACTTGAATTTTCATCCTTCTATACAACACATAAATCCAGTTTTAACCTCTTCTGATTCAATCGATTCCATTTTTTTCAAGACTGATAATGCTGTATTGACTCGCTCAATTTCAAGTTGCTGTTTGCGAAGTTCTTCTGCAACATCCAATTGTGCATTCCGAACAATATCATTTGAACAATTTGGCCTTTCACTTTTGGCATTCATTGTTTCATCAATCACTAAACGATTAAAATGTAAAAGATAAATAAGCTGCACTATGATAGTGGAATTTCGTGCTCATTTTCCAAATGTTAATCAGAAAGATAATGAGAAATTAATGGTTTGTTTTCAGCTAATCTCGCTTAATAAGCATTTCATTCTTTTCTGAATTAAACAATAAATAACCATTAATCTAAACAATGTGAATCGCGTCAATAATTAGCTGGTTATTTTTTCCACCAATTTATAACTCATAATTCTTTTGCTTAAGCAATCCTAAGTTTCTTGCTTTTCTCATTCAAACTGTATTCAATCCTTTCCACAGCAAGATAAAGACGTAGTATTATAACTGAGACTTAACTTGAATATCATATCAAATATTCACTAACACGTAGTTCTATAGAAAATTATCAAACTATAGGAGTTTTGATGATTCTAATGTTATGCTAAGAATACTTTTCATTACATTCGACAATGCCAGTAACATGATTCGTACTCATTAAACGATCATACAATTATAATAACTTAGAAGAACTTGATTAAATACCTGATGCAGAAGAATGACATGTGCTCTGATAGCGGTAATCCGATCGACGAATCTTCAATGCGATTTCCACAACTGCTCCGATTTAAACTTTACAAAGTGAGTAAAAACCTCTAAAAAATTAAAAATCACTAATTAATAATTAGTCTTTCGATTACCGAAATATAGAATGTTGCGAAATACGCGTGAACATGATTTAAAAAACACACAGATACAACTATTATCTCGATAAGCTAGCCGGATAGAACATTTGATTTGTCATTGCAAATAAATAATTTCTAGCGTTACGATCACTCGTCGGCACTAAAAGGCAAATTTCTCCTAACCTGAATCCTTCCCGGAATTTCGCGATATTAGCTTATTATATCATTAATAATTAGCCTACCTTTCTCCAAAGCTACGAAATCATTTATTATGGCCGACTCAAATTGGAACGACTTTCTTTTACCTAACGACCGTCAAAAAGTAAGAGTGATGATATCGATGCATCATAAATACTATAAACCGTAACTGAGTAATGACAAAAAATTTGAAAATAAAGTCAGTCAGAGACGCAATACGTGTAGTATATAATGAAATAGGAGTGATTTTCACATCTACTCCATTACATATTACATGATGATTACT